GGACTATCTTCTTCGGACTGGGAACAGCTTCTATCCTCCAGAAATGAGCTATGGAAATTGTACAGAATTGAGGAAAGTATTTGGTTCCAATTATCGAGACAGAAATGGATTAAAGACGGAGACAGAAACACTAGGTTCTTCCACCTATGTGCTGTTAACAGAAACAGATTCAACTCTATTTCGGAATTGAAAGTGGATGGGGAGGTGTTGACAGACCCAGAGGCAATAAAAGTTGCTGTCTCTCAGTTCTTCAAGAAAGCATATAATTCCAGAGATTTTCTAGAGGTAGACAACTTGAACCTGATTTTTGACACATTGAGAGAAGAGCAAAGGAATGGCCTCGAGGTTATTTTTTCAGAAGAGGAAGTAAAGGAGGCCATTTTTTCTTCGGACAGCTCTAAAGCCCCAGGCCCTGATGGTTTTACAATGGGGTTTTATAAGAAAGTTTGGCCAATTATAAAAGGGAATCTTATGAAGTTTATGGAGGATTTTTACTATGGAAGAAAATGGGATCATGGAGTCAATCATGCGTTCATTTCTCTGATTCCAAAGAAAGGCAATCCGGAATGTATTGAAGATTACAGACCTATAAGTCTAGTCGGCAGTTTCTATAAAATCGTCTCCAAGGTTTTAGCAAGGAGACTAGTTTCGGTGATCCAAGATATTGTGAGCCCTTCACAGTTTGCATTCATTCCGGGGAGACAATTACAAGATTGTGCTTTTATTGCAAATGAAAGTATAGATAGTTGGCGGAAGCGAGGGCTGAAAGGGGTGGTTTTCAAAGCTGATTTTCAGAGGGCTTATGACACGGTTGAATGGCCAATTATTTTTAGATTACTGAGAGCCATGGGTTTCGGGGAGAGATGGGTTTCCTGGATAAAATGTTGCCTCTCTACGGCGTCGATATCGGTATTAGTGAACGGTTCACCTACAGAGAAGTTCTCGATGGCCAAAGGATTGAGACAAGGATGTAGTTTGTCTCCTCTATTGTTTAACTTAGTGGGGGAACTGTTAAATCGTATGTTGATGAAAGCGGCGGATGTGGGATTTTTTCAGGGATTTACTTTTGGAAGGTCGGGTGCCCTCAGTCTAACTCACCTACAGTTTGCGGATGACCTGATTGTGTTTTGCCGAGACTCAACTACCTACATCCTCAATATTAAAAGAGTCCTGAGAACTTTTAGCATAATGACTGGCCTCCATTTGAATATGTCGAAGAGTAGTCTGTATGGAATCAATGTGGAGGGCGAGGTATTAAATGAATGGGCTAAGGAGATTGGTTGTGCTGTTGGGGTTTTTCCAGTAGTGTATTTAGGGTTACCAGTAGGTGCAAAAAGGAACTCAGAGGCTCTTTGGGAGCCAGTCATACACAGTTTCAACAAGAAACTAGCCGGATGGAAAGCTTCCTCACTTTCTATGGCGGGGAGATTAGTGTTGATCAAATCAGTTTTATCCTCCCTGCCAATTTTTTTCCTTTCTATTTTCAGAATTCCGAGTAAGGTCTATAGGAAACTAAATTCTATTATGGCAAACTTTCTGTGGGGGGAGGGTTCTTCAAAAAGCAGAATTCACTGGGTGAACTGGAAAAGGGTTTGTCTTTCCGTAGAGGAGGGTGGGCTGGGAGTCTTGGATTTGAATTTTGCTAACAGAGTACTACTAGGCAAATGGGTATGGAAATTCGCTAATGAAAAAGACTCACTATGGAAGAACATGATTTGCAGTATTCACAATGCGAGTACTATGTCTTTAGACCTTAACAAGGTAATCTCTCCTTCGGATTCTTGGATATGGAAGGGGATTACAAGAAATTACTTGGCAGAGGACGCAATTGGAAATGGTTTAAGATCTCACTCAAAGATACAAGTAGGTAATGGAAAGTCGATTGTATTTTGGCATGATGTGTGGCTAAATGAGGACTCCTTAAAAAGTCAATTTCCGAGAATATATGCTCTATCCAACAATAAGTGGGGAAAAGTTTCAGAGTTTGGAAGTACAATAGGCAATAAGTGGATTTGGAACATTCATATGAGAAGGAATATCTGTGACTGGGAGATGGAGCACTGGATTCGACTGATGACACTATTGGAGAATGTTGGGCTATCGGAATCGGTGGATGATTTTTTGACATGGTCCGGAAAGGGTCATGGATTGTTTACGGCTAAAGCCTGCAGGTTGACACTTTCTTCTAACTCAGGGGGCAGTCTCACTTGGAAGAAATTCGTTTGGTCAGGTTTGGCCCCACCGAGAGTTGAAACATTCCTATGGCAGGTTTCCCATCGAAGATTGGCAGTCAGATCGGAGCTGATAAAAAGGGGTGTTACGTTGGAGGATGTGTCTTGCCCGTTATGTGCTAAGCAAGAGGAAACAGTTCAGCATTTGTTTATCTCGTGTCAGGTTGCATGGGATTTATGGAGCAGTTTCTGGAGGTTATGGGGAGTCTCGGCAGTTTTACCTAATGATCCAGCATCTTTGTTGTGTTCCTGGTCGGATTTAAGGCCAAAGTCATTAATATGGGCCTTTATACCGGGGGTAGTTCTTTGGTCATTATAGAATGCTAGAAATTCGGTGGTTTTTGATGATGGGAAACTGGACAAACCTAATCTTTTCTTCATTTGCAGATTTAGGTTGGTTAAGTGGTTCCTTGCTAAATACCCAAATGATTTCATTCAGGTTGATTCTCTTGTTGGAGACCCGTCGCTTGCAGACAAGCACCAGACAAGGCACCATAAAAGGGTGAAGGTTCAGGAATGGCTTCCTCCTCCCCTACATTTTTTTAAGGTTAATGTTGATGGGGCGGTTAGTGGGGACGGCCTGTTAGGGGGAATGGGGGGTATTTTAAGGGACTCGGAAAGCAAAATCCTTGGGTCTTTCTCACTTGCTGTTGGTCCAGGTCCTCCTCCACTAGCTGAGATGAAAGCAATAGAGAAAGGCATTGAATTTTTTCTATCGTCGGAATGGGCGACTCAAGGAAGGTTAATTATTGAGAGTGATTGTAAGACAGTGGTGGATTGGATCTTACAACCGATTTCTTCTCCTCCTTTCCTTAGGTTACTGGTTCTAAAAATTGCGTCCTTAATCTCTGAGAGGGCGTTCATTATTAGACATATCCCGAGGAATTGTAATTGTGAGGCTGATACCTTAGCGAAACAGGGGATTGGCTGATCACACTTCATAGTTTTAGAGGTCATTCAGTGGGGTTTTGGGTTATTGTGGTTGTAGGGGATGTGGTAGTTTCGCTATTGTATAGGGGCGGACTGGTTGTGATAATTGGTCTGTATTTTTAATGGTGTTTAGTCAGTCTGTGGGGTGTTTCTTATGTACTATGCTCTCTTGAGAAATAAAATCCTAAGGCACTCTTTTCCTCCCTTCACTGATTAAGGAACTTTCTCAAAAGTTCCATTAGTCAAGAAGGGGGTTTTTAATGAGGCCTGTAATTCTTATAAAAAAAAAATAGTGTAATGCTTTAATTTCTTTGCTATACCGGCCCTCGAACCTTGTCCAATGAGAGTGATAAATAACTTAACCATAGTGTAATGCTGTTTTAACATTCAACCTGCTGATTTTAGGAATTGGTGGAAAACAATCCGCTTATTGCTGTTGAGGTTCTGACGAGGTTAATTAATTCTCCTGAAATCTCCATGTATTTGGTGAACATGTCAAGTTTGTGTTCAGTGTACCACAGTCAACATTCTCTTTCTAACATGTAAAGTTTCTTTTTCTGCAAATGAGCATCCAGGCATTACAGTTCTTGTTAATATGGACGTGAGTCAAAACTCCATGGAAGTTGTGAACAGGCTCACAACTGCAGTTGAACATCCTAAGGAATTTGTACGTATGTACGTAACTAATTGCATATCATCCTGCGAGAACATAAAGGTACATCCCGTATATATATTATTTTCTTGTGGTGTTTGTTGTTATTCTTCTTTTCCCCAATTGGTGTTTGGACACGCATGACATGCTTTTTGATTTAAGATGAAAAAATTCATCTTGGCATCTGTGTCCTGCACTTGTGTTGGGTTTTGGTCTTGTGGAATCGATAAGATTGATGACCATGAAATAGGCACGTATGTATTATTACTTAATGAAACCATATGCCTTTTTGAGCTGAAGAAAAACCGGCACCTGTGATGTAAACAGACATGGTCTGTCTCAAAATTTGGCATGCAATTCATTGTCCCAAGTCTATCTGTCTGATTTGTTTGCATTTGACTTTACCAATGCTGTTTTAGTCAGAAAGGTTATAACTTGGGTGCAATTTCATTTTTCGGTCTCCTTTTGTACAAGGTTTAGTGCTTCACTTTGTTACCTTGTTTCCTAATTTCAGGATAAGTACATGCAGAACAGATTTGTGCGACTTGAATGTGTTTTCTTACAGAGTTTAATCAGAAACAGAATAATTGATGGTAAGAATAAAATTTCATCCGAATCTATGATGTTTATCTTAATTACCAACTATCTCCATATAGGAATGAATTTTGATATGTCGGCGGACATATTAATCTATGTTTATTTGTACTGATTTTTGGCAATTGCAGTTAAGGATCTGTTTATTGAAGTTCAAGAATTCGAGAAGCGGCAGGTTTGTTTAGGCTTTTGAAAACTTTAGAGTAGAATTTTTGTTTTTGAACTCTCCATGACAAAAACCAACCCTAAGAGTTGTAGATAATAACTTTGTGGTGTTTTAAGAGGAAACAATGTAAGGTGGCAATGACAATTGTGAGGGATGCTTAAACCGTACCCTCTGTTACCTTTTGCTTTACTATTATTATTTCTACAATTATTATTTTGATGACTTAATTTAGCTGTCTTAATTATTTTAAGCACATCTGATGACATTATGAACTAGAACTACAAAACGAATTGTAATTCTCATGATCGCGATCATTTCTTTAGGAAAAAAGAAAAAAACAGTATATTTCCTTGGAACCGAAGTTCAATCGCTGCCACAAACAACTTTGCATTCACACAAACTATAGGGGGGGGGGGAAATAAACCAAACTGTTCACAATCATCAAAATTTAGGTTTCTTTTCCAGCAAGTAGGCCAAACATCAACTTGGTAACATTAATCCACCAATATAGACTCATTGGAATCATCACTTCCGGTATCTGACGTGGGGGTACAGTCCCAGAATATGCTCCGGCAGGAAGTCATGCCGTGTCAAAATCCCGACTACTGGAGGCCTCTGCATTTAGCACACATACAACTAAATAGTTAATACAAAGTTGCCTGTATAAATACCACGCTCACACACAAATATAACAAAGATTGAGCAAGAGAGACTTACCCCTCGACTCTTTGGTACAACACACATGTGCCGAAGACCAAGTTCACGGAAGAGAACAGCCGCTTTTGCCAGTGACATGGTCTCGGCGACTGCATACGGTGATGTATTCACGATAGGATGGAGATCAACATGCATATCCATTTCTTCCTCTTTAATGTCGAGATCCTCTAGTTTGAGTCCCTTTCCTGACCCTCCCTTGGCAAAGTCTAATTCAGCAATATTACGTAAAGTCTCATTTCGTGCCAGTACCTTATCCCTTGAAAAAAACTTTCCCTTCAGCAAAACAAGCAGATGAGATCTTAGAACAAGCCCACACAACTCAGGAGCATCTGAAAAAGGTGGTTCATCAATCACGGGGAACCCATTGTGCCCTGTGCTTCTCAAAGCATGTATTATGTTTCCGACCATCTCAACACTAGAAAAGGTGATCAAAGGACCGGTAACAACATCCCGGGCGACTAAATGTTTCATGTAATGTTCCGGATGGGCCTTAATGTACGGCAACCCTTTTAGTTTTACAATTTGGTCGTAGACGCCCTGGTTGAACATGTCACCCATGGTTTTTGAGATAAGGAGCACCAGCATGATTAGTGGAAGCACCAATAAATCGTTAGTGAGCTCAAGCAGTATAACACACAGGGAAACTGTCATTCTCATAGTACCACCAAGAAAAGAAGCAGCACCAAGGAGGGAAAAGAGACCATTATCAAGTTTAGATACCGGCTCAAATAGCCTACCAACGAGACGGCCGTAGCAAGATCCGGCCAATATGACAGGGATGAAGAGCCCAGAGGGGACAGCTATGCCATAAGTGATTATGCCAAGGAAGTAAACAGCACCAAAGAAGATTAGAAGAGAAGAAATATGGAATTCTTTCGCGGTATTGGTACTCAATAGGTTGCGAATAGCGTCGTCGTTTGTGTTTAGAAACAAAGAGGCCAGGTCATTGTAATGACCAGGTGGGCATTGGAAGCTCTTGTAGTTGCCAGACACATCAGTGTTGGGGCAACTTGTAGATACATTGTCGGGGCAGGGGACGCACGTAGCTAACCACGGCAAGCCGTAAGAGCAGATCGATGTCAACAGGGAGATCATAATAACAAGTACGATCTTGACAACAGCTCCTTTTCTACAGAAACAAGGGAACCACTAAGCTGTAGGATTTATCATCAGATGAAAACATGGATAAAAACTGCTATCTGCACGAGTTTTGTCGGTGATAATTCACAATATCATCGACACGGTTGTGTTACTAACGATAACAAGATCTCTCACCTACATAAATGAAAATTCCAAGATCCATGATTGAATGTGTTACATACTCATTAATGATGCTGTAGGTGCGAAGAACCTTATCCACTAGATAGTTATATAGGCTTCCAAGGAGGCCTCCAATAACCCCTAGAAGTATCACAGCCAGTATATCTGGAACACTATATACAACTTTGGCTGCACTAATATCATACATAATCAGTCCTCCTTGCCCAAACAACCCACAACTTCCAGTAGAGCAGAAATCTATGAAGCCTCTTAAAACTATAGCAACTACCGCCGTCGTGAAAAAGGTTCTCCAAAGAAGAGCACTCCTCCACCTGTCGACAAGCAACCGAAAAAAAAATTCAAACACCATTTCGATCATCGTTATAGTTAAACTTAAACACTTTCTGGGTTTGCACCTGCACATACTGTCCCATACCAGACTACCAAACAATATGCAAAATTATCACACTATCATGCTTTTTCACCTCCTTTAGTAGAATGAGGTGTTTCAAGACTTTCCATAGAACAAATAAAACAAAAAGGTTACGGCCTCAATAGTATGGAGAAGAATTTTTCTAGTAAATATGGAGGACTATCTGACAAGCCATGCATAAAAATCTAGCAGCAATTAATGGAGTCTGCAAGTCAAAGCAAGGGAAAAGGGAAAATAAAGAAGAAAAAAAGTGGGGGCTGTAACACGAAACCCCATTTTTTACGACAAAAAAGGGTGTGGGGTGGTGGGGAGGGTACCATGAAGCTGCCTCTTCAAGAGCAAAGAGGACACCACCAACCGGAGCACGAAAAGCAGCAGCCACACCAGCAGCAGCTCCACAAGTTATCAAGTCTCTCCGGTCGCGATCATTTTTGAAATATCGAAGCCATCTCCATGTCAAACCATATTTACGGGAACCTCCTTGCCCAATTAAAGAAGCTATGCAAGAACCTGTGTGAACCATAGGCCCTTCTTTGCCAACAACAAATCCAGCAGCTACACCAAAAATTGAACCAAAAATCTGCCAGATAGAAAATAAGACAATCAAAATGTACGTTTGCAACCGGAAAAGCAGTTCCAATCATCAGACAATACATAAAAGCGGTATGCCCTGGCTTTCCCATACCAATTTTTGTAAGGAAAGAGATGCAAATAGGGTAAACCGGTTTCAGAAGTAGATATCAGGCAATAGAACCTTCGTAAATATTGGTTAACACTAAGAAGGCCATTCACCTTTACAAAAAGAGTACTAGGAGCCAGTATTGAATATGCATCCACACCATTGAGGTATGCTTTCACTTCAGGAATACCGGAACCTGCCGCTGCCGGAGCAATAAAAGCACAAAGGGCCGCAGCTAATGTTGCAAGACCTAAATTGCAGCCGGCATATGTCATAAAAGCCTTGTAATATCTGCAGTGAATCATTATTAATTATGTCCGAGTTATCACATGGAGCTGTCATGTAAATCCACTTAAGAAGTACAAGACACACAAAAATAAGGATTCTATGCCTGTAGTGCGCTTCGTGCCCTCAACAAATTCGGCTAAGGCAAGATGCCTTAAAATGTTGCAGGCAATAGAATAGCAGGCTTACCTGTGCTTCAGCATGAGCTCTGTGGTGAGCAGCAGCTTGAACCCGGCAATATTCTCAACTGCTATATTGTTAAAGATGCCAACTAAGCCAGTGCTTACGCCTATAATAAGTGCAAATGCCCACTTTAGCAGAACATACTGAAATACTTGGATCTTCCTCCTCAACCGCCAATCCTCATTGACTAATTCATTTTCTGGAATCCTGTTATACACACCAGATACATGAGACAACGCCTCAGTTATCAAGACTAATGCTCTATACGACTAGGAAGCTAGGACATTTGTAACATGATTACAATTCCATTCTTCATCAAATCATTAGAAATTTAAATGAAGAAATGCAGGGGTTGCTTACTCGTAATCAAGGCTCTCGACGGGGCAAATTTTGGCGCCGACGAGAGCGATCTGGGATGTGACGTTCACTCTCTTAATCAAAAGAGGTCTACTGTAAGTACTCTCCCCAACTTCGCTTTCAACATCATCAGTCTCGACATCCGTAATACTATGATTACTGTTATACATAATAACTTTTGTTTTTCTTATCTATCTGCACAAAATGAGAAAACCAGAATCGGGCAATCAGCAAACCAAATCAACCCTTTCTCTCAAATCTGACATAACTTACAAAAATAAAAAGAAGAAGAGAAACAGCTGATTTCTTCAGTGAATTCTGAGTTCAATTGGATCGATGGTTGAGTATGTTGTTTGCAGAGAGATTATCTGCCAAAATTAAAGGGAAAAAAAAGAGAACAGGAGTTACCTTACATGACAAAAGATTGAAAGACTTGTCTTCCATGCATAAAGTCAATAAATTAAATTATTAAATGTCAATTGCTAGTTTTATTTATATGGTAATGGTTTGGTGCTATGAACCTGGTACTTACCTAGAAACCAATTTTACATAATCTTTTGGAGTAAAAAAAAACTCCTAGCATTTCAAGCCATAGGAAGGAATAGTCTGCATGTAGCATGCAGAAACAAAATAAAAGGTAGAATCACAAATCTTTAAATATAAATTTTAAAATACATTTGAAAAATAAATAATGAATAATTTATATGAGTAATTTTTTTTTGTTTTTCTAAACAAAATATTATGTAAAAGTTCAAGACATAAACACAGAATACTTACGTTATGCTTTGTATGTAATAAATTGTTTAGTGGTCTCCTCGAAGGACATTGAATAATGATTAAACGATTGCAAGGCCCTTGTACAGTGAGAAGACGTGGTGGGAGAGGCAGAATTACAAAATGCTACTAAAAACATATATATATATATATATATATTGATTTCGTTTTACTTTGGTACTATTAGTATTATTGTGTACTCTCTATGAAAAGTTAAATAATTAATTAGAGTTAATAATAAATATTTATTATTGATCGAGGACGTGATGTGTTGGAAAATGATGTTTATCCTTTCTTTCCTATAAAAAATAAAATAAATAATAAATAAATTTTATATATTATTATTCATCGAACAATATCGATAATGTTATATGATCGGATAAATTTATAATTTTATAAGGAGTCACATCTTAATATTATTATAAGCCCTATAAGCATTGGAAAAACAATAACAAAGAAGTGTGAGTGCTAAGAGTCCGTTTGTTTCACATAAAATAGATTTTTAAAAAATGAATTATATTTTTTGAAAATCATTTACGGTGTTTGGATGATTGTGTAAATCATTTTTAATTGGTTGGTAAATATTTTAGAAATTATTTGTTATAAATATCAAATATAATAAATAATATTATTTATTAAAAATAATATTATTGTTTTAAATATTAGAATGATTTATTTAATATTATTTATCTCAATATTATTATTAAAATATTATATCTACAATTTTAAAAATAAAAATATTAAGATAATTATATTTTATTAAAATAAAGTTATTATAAATTATATTATTTATTTATTAAAATAAAAATAATATATTATTAATTGTATTAGTTACTTACTAAAAATAGTTATTAAAATATTTAAAATTATAATATTAAAATAAAAATACTATATTATATTTTAATGAGTATATTTTAAATATTTAATAATTTAATAATATTATTTTTATAAAATAATTAATAATATTTAATTTTATTAATAATTTATTATAATTACTAAATTAAAAGTATAATATTATATATTATAATAATTTAATTTAATTTAATAATTAATATTTTTACTGAAATGATAATAAAATAATATATTAATATTAGATATATAAAATACTAATGTTTTGAGTGTTTATACTTTAAAGTAAAAAGTTATAACTTATCGAAAACCAGACCGTAACTCATTTTTTAGAAAATATGAAGAAAATTTAATTGATTAAGAAAATAAATTACATTAATCATCTGTTTTTCGTCAACCAAACACTGAAAATTAATAAAAATACTTTTTGAAAACCCAATTAAAGGAAAACAAACAGACTCTAGGTATTCATTATCTTCCTAAATGTGTATATATGATACACAAATTACAATAAATATTAAAAAGTTTTTAAAAAATAAATTGAATATATAAAACTAAAATAATATCTTACCAAATTTAGCTTGTTCTGATCAATTTTCACCTCCGTCAAGTTTGCTTTTTTGGGCGCTTTCAAGGAAATTAAAAGATGGGGTTACGGTAATAATTTGCTGTCCACCACCTTATCTGGAAATTTTCCCAAATGATAAAACAAAAAAGGTGGGGCCCCGAACGGCGAGTTTACTCGCCGTGTCGCGTTTTATTCTGAATGTCGAATTAAACCTTTTGTTTTTAACTCATGGGGACTTGATTTACGTGTTTTATAAAAAAGAAACTAAATTTAGTTAACAAGTTAATTAAGGAGAAACCATTAATAATTTGCTTTAATTAATGGAGTGTTTTTCCAAAAGTTATGGGTAGTTTAATTTAGATTGAGAATTCGGACTACTATTTTTGCTGACAAATTTTTGAACAATTTGACTTATATGATTGGTTATGTTTGTTTAGAGAATTGTCCAATAAGTGTTAGCACAAAACAACAAAAAGAAACAAAGGATAAGTACCGCTACATACTACATAGACATACTCTTCAAAAAAAAAAAAAAAAGGCAATTTTACCTAAATAGCACCCTAACAATGAAACATTATTTGTCAAACACTCTTTCTCCAAATATTATAAAATATTATTTATCAAACACTCTTTCTCCAAATATTATCGATCAAAAATCCTTTTTGACAAAACGCGGACCATGAGGCTAGCCTTCACGGAATTTTGTTCGAGCTGGCACCATGGTGGAAAAGCACGTATCATGAAGCGCACCTTCGCTGGAAAATCTGACACGTGCAAGGAATGTGCGAATCATGAGACGCTCTTCCATTATTCATTTTGAATTGTTGCGTACTCCATTATTACATGAACCTTAACTCTATCGGTTATTCATCCATCCCCCTCTCATATAAATACCCCCGAATGCAAACATCAAACCACACCAAAATTACTTTCACATTCTTCATTCTATCAAGCTAAGTATATTTTGTTATAGTTTTTAGAAGGTAAAATTATTTTTTATTATATTATATTTATTTTATATTTAATTATTTAACCAAATTTTATTATATTAATTATTTAGTATTATTTTTTGAGGTTATAAAATAGAAGGCGGAATCATATCTCGAGATATTTTGTCGATACAGTGACAATATTAAATTATGTTATTTAAATACCCCCTATAAATACTCCCGAATGCAAATATCAAACCACACCAAAATTACTTTCACATTCTTCCTTATATCAAGCTAAGTAGATTTTGTTATAGTTTTTAAAATGTAAAATTATTTTTTATTATTTTTATATTTAATTATTTGAACACATTTTATTGTACTAATTATTTTGTATTATTTTTGCGGTCATAAAATGGAAGGAGGAATCATATCTCGAGACATTTTGCCAATACGGTAACAATATTAAATTGTGTTATTTAAATTATTATGATTTTTTTATTTTTTAGCATTAATTTATATTTTAATTCGTATATTATTTATTTAATTAGGTGTATTTCAACTATTATTTTTGCAGATATAAGACTCTCAATCTTTCAAGCTCTCAAGCTCTCAAAAATGAGGCGTATTTCAACTATTGTTTACTATGATGGAGAAATTCGGGAAGATCAAATCGGAGTTTTCTTTGCATCAAATTATTCAGTCAGAATATCCTTCAAGAGAAACATCACTCTTGGGGAGCTGATCACTAAAATTTCAAGAAAGGTTCAGGTTGGAAGAACTAGAAGATTGTCCTCACTTTAGTACAGATTTCCAACTGCACTATTTCTATTAATTTATACAACGTTCGAACTCTTCAACGATGACGATGTTGCTATGATGGTTGATGCTCAGAATCAAAATCCATACGTTGACACACAAATGTATGCTACATTTGTTGAAGTGTGTGGTTCGTGGTATGTCATTATGCTCCCACTATGGGTTGGTTCAACAAGTTCATCAAGTTGACTGCCCAACTCAAGAAATGTGTAAAGATTTTAACTTGTTAATGGGAAATCCACATCCTGGTACCATTCCATCAAGTTCAATAGGGAGACATTCATCAGCAACTTGTTACGATCTCCACCGAGGTGGCTCCACGAACAATCTGTATGACAACATCGCTTCCAGTTCAAGGGGAATGCATTCATCTTCCAATTTCTTTGAACTAAATATGGAGATGCCCTCGATACAACAATCTATTCAGTACCCATTTGACACGATGCCTACAAGTTCCAAGGGGAGGCATTCAAATGCGAGCTTCTTCGACCTCAATATGGAGATGCTTGTGACACAACACTCAACTACTAGCTTCAAGTTCAAGGGGAACCCGTACGACACGATGCCTTCAAGTTCAAGGGTAAATCATTCAACTACCAGCTTGTTTGACCCAAATATCGGTATCACAGAGGATGGTGCTGAGCCAGAATCATCGCAGTTCAACATGGGCTCTGATGATGAAGATGTAAATGAAGTTCCCACAAATACGGTACACACAGAACCTCCAGCACACATGTATGAAGCTGACTATGGCGCAATGTACGAGCCAAAATTTACGAATATGCCTAATGTTGGTGATTACGGATTTAACTCATCAATCAATGATGGTGAGTTTTATGAAGCCTCAGTTTGTGGTATTTCATTTTCGTTTACTTTTAACTAATGTGCTACTCAAGTGAAAATTAAATAAAAACATTACAAATTAAATAATAAAAATGATTAAATAGAAACATTAAATACAATTGTTACAATTTAAACAATTAAATAATAAAAACATTAAGAAACACAATAAATAAAATAATCCATAATTAAATAATAAAAACATTAAGAAACAAAAAAATAAAAGTTCATAATTAAATAAAAACATTAAGAAACAAAAAAATAAAAAGTTTATAATTAAATAAAAACATTAAGAAACAAAATAAATAAAAATAAGTCTATTAATGTCTGCGTCTTAAATATGTTCCACAGGGCGGTGTTTGTCTATTTCGATGAGGATTTCTTCGTATAAGTTGCTCTTCCTCTCACTCTCATCATCATCATTATTAGCAACAACAGTAGTAGCAACTATATTTTGTTGATGAGAGACGGATGACAATGTAACACATCCATAGAATAAAATAACAGAATTTAAAATTATTATCGTGTCGAAAAAATGACTCGAAATATGATTCTCATCTAAACGTAGCAACGCACCTGTCATTTTATAGCTACAAAAGTAATAAAAAAATTAACACAATAAAATATAATAAAATAATAAAATATTAAATAATTATAATATAATGAAAATTTTAGCTTCTAAAAACGATAAATATATTTACTTAAAACTTGATAGAACAATATATATAAGGAAGAAATAGAGTGTTTTTTTGTGTGGTAGAGTGTTGGATGAGAGGGTATTTATAAGGGAGAGGACCGGGGGGGGGGTTGGACAGTATTTAAGGCGGGAGAGTTGTGATTTAAATGTAAGGCGCGGATTATGATCCGCGCTTTCCGCCACATGTTTGATTCCCAGCAAAGGTGTGCTTCATGATCCATGTTTTACAACTATGACGCCAGCTCGGATAGGCGCGGATTGTGATTCGTTCTTTTCTCCCATGACGCCAGTTCGGACAAAACCTACAAAGGTGCTTCTCATAATTTGTGCTTTATCAAAAATATATTAAATCGGTAATATTTGAAAGAAAAAAAAGTGATTGATAGGTAATATTTAATTGTTAGGATGATTTTTGGTTGAAAAATACTTGAATGCATATTTTTCTTTAATTATACCTTTTATCAACTTACCTCTTAAAATATTTTTTTATGTTTTGTCCCTTCAATTATAAATCGTTAGCCCAGTTAAAAAATCACGGATCAATCAGAACACTTAACGTAATCTATTAGTTTTTATTTTTTATCTAAATAAATAAAAATCAATAAATAAAATAAAATACCAAAATTACCCTCGACTCTTTTCCCCAGCCTCACCTTCACCGTAATACCCTCCCTCTCCCTATCCCCCAACACAGCTCTGTTTCCCTTTCTCCATTGAAGGAGACCTTGAAAATAGTAAAGGGTCAACCCAGTTATGGTGTTTTCTTTATGGTTTTCAACTTGCATGTATACTTCGAAAACCGACTCATCTGAATTTCAATTCTTAAATAATAAAAATAGTAAGGTTAAAGGTTTGTTTTTGCAGTGGGAGGAGAATTGTGTTTTGTTTGAACTCTTTTAAACATCCTGCAATGAAGTGTTTTCACTATTTGAAGGACAAGTCTAGTGGAAGCAAGGGCCAAAGATCGGCACCGGAGTTGAAACACGAAAGCAATGGGTGACGGAGGTTCAATTTCTCGGTGTCGTTGAACACCCGAATCTCGTTAAACTCATTGGATATTGCGCCGTCGATGGAGAACGAGGGATCCAGCGTCTTCTGGTATACGAGTTTATGCAAAATAAGAGCTTGGAAGATCGTCTTTTCCATCGTGTATTCGCACCACTTTCCTGGAAAACAAGATGACAGGTAATACTTGGAGCATCATTCAGCCGTGGGAGGTTAAAGGTCTCTTTCGTTAATCTCTTATTCTTATTATAAATTTTATAACACATTACAGGATAATCTCACTCAATTATTTTAGTTCTTAATTGATAATTCTTGATGAGGATTTCAGAAGGATATCGATTACTACATCCATTTTCTGTTCAACTTAACTTGAAAAGTTTGGTTAATTTTATCAAATTATCTATTAAAGTACGTTTGATTTTTTTGGTTATATTTTGATCCAATTATCTATAAAGAAATTGATTAATTGTAATATCATTTGAAAATTTTAAGTTTTAAGACTAATTAACCGATTCTATTCACGAAACTAATAAATTTATATATTTTTTAAATTTTTTAATGATTATGGGATTTTAGTAAATTATTAAAATTTAAAGATAAATTATTAATCTCAACTCAATTTTCTTGAATTTTAATAATAGACTTTAAATTTTAAGTCTCAAATAATTATAAGGTAGTATCTATTTGAAAGATTCTCAATCATTCGGGAATAAACGTTTAAACATCCTTATAAACATTGTGCTTGAACGAGAGATCTCTAAAGATAACAATCATCTCTTCAATTGTTAAGTTCAATTGATCAATACATATATATATTAATTGTTGTTATAATTAAGATATATCAATTAATGTCATAACCACTTAGCATTAATCAACTGTAATGTTATTAGATCATTGTGATTAGCTTTAACACTAATTCAACCTAAAACCATTTGTTTCAAACATTCAACAAACCAATTTAGTTGGGTGTTGCAGTCATACGCTGGGATTATGCTCTAAAAGACTTAATTTGATTTTGAATCTTAGAGTTAAAAATTTATTTTTTATTGGGTAAAGTATACAAATAGTCTCTCGGCTATAGGGTGATATTTTGTTGAGTTGACTATTAAAAATTACAAAATTATTTATTGACTATTCATATGTATCAAACTAGTCATTTGCTGTTAAAAAAAATTGACATATTTCTAAGCTTGGAAGTTAACACGATGATTGAGAATTGATAAAATTATATTTTATTGATGTTTATTGATATCGTAGTTGCTTTTAAGGATTGTTCTATAGAATAATGTTTCAAACATTGACTTGACGACAGAATGGAGAGTCGATCCATAAAATATAACTCAAATTGTTATAGGATCAAATCTTCTCATGTCCAATCATTGGGTTAACGTCCAACTCATATGGCCATAAATTTTTTAATAGAAAATTACGATTTCGGAACATATGTATAGTCGAGTGAATATTTTGTAAGTCGAAGACTCAACAAAGCAACGCCCTATAGTTGGATAAATATTTTTGTAATTTTTAATAGTTAGAAGACTCAATAAAATGTAGCACTATAGTCTGGGAAACATTTGTGTACTTTACCCTTTTTATTTTACAATATATTAGATGAAAACATGTATTATTGTCTTGTTAGAATTATACATCGTTAATAGATTTGACAATAGTGATTAAAATAATTTTTGTCTAATAATGATGACTGAATTGATAGCACACTACAAATTAGGTCATTCAATCGGAAAGATTATTTTTAGTGATTAAAGTAATAGCATCCTACAAATTTGGTGAATTTTCCCTAAAAGAGACTAGCCTTTTCTATATAAAAACGGCGCCGTTTAATCGCTGGACTTAAACCTAAAATACAAACCCTAAACATTACAATCAAAATTACGAATACCTTTTCTTTTTTCCTGCTCCTAAAATTATCGTCTGGCTCGAAGGCGGCCGCTTGCGAGATTCCGCTGCCGGAGATCCCTTTCTCTATCACAAAACTATTTCTCATTTTAGTCTACCTCCTTCACTTTGTGGCAAACAAAAAAGAAAAAAAAAACAATAGAGGAAGAAGGAAGAAATTGAAAAACAATGGCACAACAAGCAGTGCAGAAGAACACGTTGTACGTGGGAGGGCTAGCGGAGGAAGTGAATGAAGCAATCCTCCATGCGGCTTTCATCCCTTTTGGAGACATAAAGGACGTCAAGACCCCATTAGATCAGGCCACTCAGAAGCACCGCTCCTTTGGCTTCGTTACCTTCTTGGAGAAAGAGGACGCCGCTGCTGCCATGGACAACATGGATGGGGCTGAGCTCTATGGTCGCGTTCTTACGGTCAATTACGCCCTCCCTGAGCGGATCAAGGGTGGTGAGCAGGGCTGGGCCGCTCAACCTAGTATGTCCTTTGATCCCTTAGTTTTTCCTTCTTTTATCTCGACTTACTTATCTTTGTATGTGATTGAAAAGTTATCTTTGTATGTGATTGAAAAGTTATCTTTGCCTCTGGATTGGAACGGATAGGATTTTGTTTTGGAAACTTAGGATTTAACTGAAGAAGTTCTGAAAGGGATGTTGGGTTTATTTGAATATAATCCGGGTCTTGAAAGATGAGAAATTTGTTTTGAATGAGAAGTTCCTCCTGATTGGTTTGATAAGTTCATGTGCCTTGAGACTCTAGTATGTTTTCTTGGCGTGCTTATTATTGGGGAAGGGTCCTCCAAATCAATGGAAAAACTTGAACAAAAATTGAGCGTCTTTGTGCCAGACAGATACCTACTGAATTTGACTCTCACCCCTTAGTCTGGATGTCATAGGACACGTTGTTTTGGCTCTGATGCAAGTACACGGTCAATCCCTTTTTTTGTTTTCTTGAAATGTCTGCTCTTAGGTTAACCCCTCCTTTTGTACAAAATGCAGTTTGGGCAGATGCGGACACATGGTTTGAGCGGCAACAACAAGAAGAAGAAATGCAGCGGATTCAGGCAGAGAACCAGGCCGCAATGCGTGCCGCCGAGGAATTGCATAGGAAGAAATTGGCGGAGGAACGACAAGGGGAGAAAGAGGAAGAAACAGAGATGAAGGATGATCCGATGGCGAGAGCTGAAGCCCAAGTTTTGAATCAGAGTTAGCTATTCAATGGAGCAATCAAATACTGAAAAAACTCTAGGTCTGTCTTCTATGTTAACCAATCTTTTTCTTCCTTTTGCAAACTGCTTTCGGCTGTAGCTGCGACAAATAGGGTCACAGCATTAATTTAAAACCTTTCCACTTAACCACTTCACAAGAGGGTTTGACAAATAATTGTTGTTAAATTATTTGGTCTGTCTCTGCACTAATAATATTTCAAACAACTCTGTACCAAAAGATCGGACCTGTCTCATCTAGAATTAACTATTTTAAACTTAAAATAAAATATAATTTAATATCCATATTTGTATCTTTTTATAATTAAAATTTATACACTTATAATCTAATTTATTTCAATTTTTATGGAGTTAATAAAATAATACATCTAAGGAATAAATTGTCTAAAACGCAACATTTTTGTATAAATATTGCATTTCTATGAAAATATTACATTACCTAAGTTAATATTATTCCAAAATTTTACGCTATCAGAGATCATATAATATTATCTTAAAAATGCATCCTTTATAATAATATTGATTATACTTTATAAATCAAGTGCTTCATATACTTTTTAGTGCTTAAATTATACCTCAAAATATGCTTAAAGAATTTTTTGTTAATAATAGATGCATGACGTTTTCTCTATTACACTTTTAGGTGTCTACCGTTATTTTTCTTTTAATTTTTTAAAAATAAAAATATTACTTAAAAAAAAAGAAATTTTTTAAAGAATCAACCTCCGCGTCATCCCTCTCCCTCCCACCTCCAACGGTAAAAGGTCACCACCGGTCGGATTTTGTTCGGAGCAGGATGAGGAACCTAAATGTGACAGTCGTGTAACGTACTGTCCGCCATACCGCCGAAATCACCAAAAAATAGCAACGATAAACCTAGAAATTCGATGACCCTTTGCAATGCTTTTTAAGACGATTGGTGTAATTTCACACTAGGGACTAAATTTTGGTCTAGACGACGAAACGATTCTGATGGTGTCAATAATAACAGCCATAGACCAACGATAGCCGATCGACAAAGGAAGATTTAAAATTTGAAGGATTTTTTAATTATAATATTAAGTTTTTTTTAAAAATAAAATAATTTTTAAAATTTTATATACATGTCAGATAACCAAATTAACTACCTTTACTATCCAAGCACCCAAAGTACATTGAAAATGTTACACCTATTGTGAACAAAAAAAATGTAAGCACAAAATCAAATTTTAAGGTATAAATTAAACACTAAAATGTGTATTAAGCCTAAACTAAGATACTTTGATCATTCTCTAATTAACTTCAAGTCAAAAAGATGGTTTTAAAACTTGGTAATAGTTGATATTTAATCCAACAATATTCGGTACAAAACACAGATTATAACATAACAGCAAATGGAATGCTCGCAACAAAATCCCCTACAGCTCCAAATTCTATCTGGAAATACCAGTAACATCAATCAGTCGGGCAAAATTTGCTCACCATCTGCATCTGCTTCGGTCTCAACCTTGGGTTTTGGAGCTTGTCCGGCTCCAGGAGCCTGCTTCTTCTTAATCCCGCTTACTATGTCGTCGATCCTTAGAAGCATGCAAGCCGCTTCTATGGCAGTCTTGAAAGTTTGTGCCTTTACATTGTATGCATCCCATATCTGACCAAAAAACCAAGCAACATTTACATTATTACTCACTACATTCAAATATGATCATTGAGAAAAGAAAGTTGAGAATATCAAATTATATGCACTTTTCCTATAACTAATTATAATGAAATGAGAATGGAACACAAGCGATGTTAATTAAATCAAAGGCCAATAGGATGTCATGCAGATGTCACTACAATCTAAAAGAATGATTATTTCTCATTCTCAAATCATCCAACCTTCAGTTGCCTTTGTTTTTAAACAATGCACTACTTATACCTTCATATTTTGATATCATCACTTTACCTACTCATATTTTGTCATCAATTAAGTTGTAGATGTCTTACATGGCTTTCAGTTAACATTTTGAAAGATGGGACATAATTGTTTGACAAATCATAGTTTGGGATGAAAATTGCAACAATGAAAACTTCAGTTAGAAAAGTGAAATTATTTGTGGGGGGGCGGATTAAAGGCCAATAGTGCAGTCAATTAAGGAAAAAAGCATACCTTGCTCTCTTTCATGTCAGCAATAGCACCAGTGTTCCCATCTATGCCAGTCCATGCATTTTCACCATTTGCATGCTTTAAATCACATGTTGAGAAAACGAGAAACAGAAGGGATAACGATAATGTCATTTTCAAAACATAAACCGTACTCTAGAAACATTCATAATCATACCTTCCCTTGCAGAGCAGTCATGGTTCGAATCACATTAACTCCACAATTCTGTGCCAAAGTACGTGGTATAGCTTCAAAAGCAATTGCAGCAGCTTCATATGGCCACTGTTACATATCCAGTGAAAATAAAAAAACATTTTAAAAAATCTAACAGGGTTGTATGTATATTCAAATATCCAGATAAGTTGTCATATTCAAATCATGTAACTCAAAAGGCTTGGCATTAATGCTCACCTTTTCTATGCCTTCAACAGATGAACTCTTCTGCTTCAAAGTGGCAGACACTGTTAATTCTGATGCACCACCACCAGGAACAAGTTTTGGATTCTTGATGATGTTTCTTGCCACAGACATGGCATCCTGTAATTGAAACTTGTCTCAGAACTTTGACCAGAATAGGAAAAGAAACAAACTTCAGAGCTTGATTCCATTTAACAGAAATTAAAGAGCAAATCAGTTACCTGCAAATTTCTTTCCACTTCATTCAGGAGATCCTTACTAGCACCTCTTAGAAGAATTGTACAGGCTTTCGGATCTTTGCAATCAACAATGAATGCAAAGAACTCATCCCCAATTTTTTTAACCTCAAACAACCCTGCTCCAATACCAACATCAGATTCCTGCAATTCATCAGGACGATTCACAATAACAGCTCCAGATGCCTTTGCGATTCTATTGTTGTCCGTCTTTCTCACCCTCCTAATTGCACTTACACCAGCCTTACTCAGATAATGGCATGCCAAATCACTAAGTCCTTTTTCTGTAATAACCAGGTCTGGTTTGAATTTCAGAATCTGCATGCAAAGGTTCTCAATGTATTCTTCTTCCATTTTCAACAGGACTTCCCAATCTTCTTCCCTAACCAACTCTGCATTTGTTTGGTTCTCTCCTTTCTTATACTCGAGGGGACAATCAAGAAGAATAATACGTGGATTGACTATCTTTCTTTTCATTTTCCCAGGTGCAACTACATCTTTATTGATCATCACTCCCTTGAGGACCTTAGAATCTTCCAATTGTCCACCAGGTACTTTCTCTACTTTAATGTACTTTTTAATATCAACTTCTCGGAGCCCTTGGCCAAGATCAACTCCGACAGTTGTAGTTGCATCAATTGCCAAATCCTGGAAGTTAAACAATTAAGTAGATAAAAAAAGCATGATACAAAGTTTTAAACTTCATTTTTAACACTTCTATTTTGAATAAAATAAAATTATTATGAAAAGTGAGAAAGTGCTGTGCACAGAACATAAATGATTGCTAAAGTGATAGATTCTGAACTATGTTGCAGCAAAACTGAAGGCAATATACAATAAGAAACCGAGTGAGTTGAGGAACATCAATTTTCATTTATCCAGATGTGATATGTAAAAAGGCCACTGCACAAGCTAGCCTGTGCCCCTCCTGCTGTTTTAGTAGGGATATTGTTTCAGACAGTTTCAATCACTGAATGCATTTCATTTAGTAACAATTAACAAACATATGCATTTCATTTGTTTTTTGTTCATGTTGAACAACGTATTGTTAACCTTTTGGAATTAAATATGAACAATAATTTTTTATTCATATTTTAATAAACTGGTAAATAATGAAGTATCAGAATGGTCATATACGGCCATTTTAACCATAGGTCATATGTTAGCATAATGGTCTATGCAAATTATCACAGTAATCAAAATCAAAATAAGCAAGAAAAAAAAGCCCCATAAGAAAGAAGCCACTCACAGCAATAAGATCGCCGAATTGGCTAGTGAACTTTGTCCCTATACAACTCTTCACAAGCCCTAACACTGTTGAACCTGCTATTTGGATCCACATTTTATGATGTGAAGCATGCCAAAGAAATTAAATATGCAAATACCACCTACACAAATGCAGAAACAGATAGAAATTTTGTTATGAAAAGATTTCCAAGAGAAACATACGGTCTTTCACATCAATAGACATTGCAATCTTGTCAAGCACAGCAATAGCATCCTCTAAAGCCTTATTGTATGCTGCAAATGAAATGGCTCTTCATCAAATGCCAAATTATGATTCAAAAGCAGAAGCTAAGAATCTAGCAGCACTTTTAAGTTATATTACCTCGACAAATTACTGTTGGATGATAATTTTTTTCGATAAAGGCTTCTGCAACATGAAGCATCTCACCAGCTACAGCCAAAGATACACCAAGTATAAGCACAAAATGTAATGTCATCTTAACATGTGATGTCAGTTATACCATCAAAAAAATAAAATAGGATGAGAGCGTGAACAGGAAGTAAAAAACATCATTCAAGAAATGTCTGATTCCAACTGTTAAGCTAATCTCATTAAAATCCATTGGGATCTAGCTCTCAAAAACATGTAGATAAGAATAACATAGCAATACAAACTAAGATACGCAGAAAAAAAAAGTCGACATAGCACACAAACCAAACTGAGCTGTACAAGGAAATACCAAGAACAATGACGGATGTTGTTCCATCTCCAACTTCTTCATCTTGTGTTCGGCTTAATTCAATCATAGACTGCAATGACCAATTAAATCAGATAAGCAAGAATGAAAATAAGACCGATAATAGGAAAAGAAGCATTATGAAATAGAGAAGCAGGGTAAACTATCATACCTTGGCGGCAGGATGTGCAAGATCTAACTCACGTAGAATTGAATTTCCATCATTAGTAACAACAATACCTGGTAGGTAAAAACCAAACCAAAATTCATGATTGAATTTTATTAATTGTGATCAAGCAGAGTCCTTTTAAAGGGTCTAAAAGAATGTTTGTGGGAAATCCAAAAACAGAAGCAAAGGAAATGGAATTATGTTAAAATTGTG